AACTTCATCCATATCAAATTCATTCATTTAAGACACTTTAATAAAAGAAATAAGGCCATAAAATTTTGGAGAAGGAGAAAAATTTGGTACATCTGATTTTTACATAAATCTAGTGGAGACAAAATTTGCATCGTGTTTATATTTATATATATATATATATATATATATATATATATATATATATATATATATATATATATATATATATATATATATAAATCAGGTATACAGTGAATTTTTTTTTCTTTTCAATATTACGTGTTTCTACTAGATAGTTACTTATAACTATTGGATTTTTTATTTTAACTGACTTTTTAAAAGTAATTTTAAAAATATATATAAAAATTTGCAAATGTAATTTATGAGAAGATTATCATTGTCATTTTAAAAATATGTAAGGGTGTCATGTTTAATTCTTAAGGTGGATTGTTCTTGGAATTTTAAGAAATTCAGACCAATTTGCTTGTGAAACACTATTTATAAGCGTATTATGAAGATTATGATTAACAAATTGCATTCTTATCTAAATTAGGTAGTTGAACCCTTTCAAAGTAGTTTTTTTCATAGTAAGGGGACAACTGATAATGTCATTATCCTTTAAAAAACAATTAATTCTATGTGTAAATCTTACAAGAAAAAAAAGGATTAGAGTTTCTACTAGGATTGTGAGTATATATGGATCCAAGTCTTGAAACATAAGCACATCAGTGAGGGATTTTTTTTTAATATACATAAGAACATGGGATCAATTACTTTCAATGCAACTATAAAAGCTCTCCCTACTCTTAAGCTTGGCTTTGAATTTAGATTGGGGGATACAAACTCCTTTTTCTAGTTTTCTAATTGGTCTGTTGTAGGCAAACTGCCGGATCGGGTTCTCTTTGTGGATATCCATGACTTGGAATGGTGAGTGAATGATATTTAATTGGATGATAATTAGAACTTCAATCTATTATACATATATTCCTCCTACCATTTGTGACCTCCTAAAAGCACTTCCCATTTGTTTGAATTCTTTAGTTCTTGGTCGGTTAACTTAGAAAGGAAATTTATATGGTATATATACTATTCGAGATGGTTATTATTAACTCAACATACTTGATTTTGTTCTAAATACAATGGATAACATCTCTTGGAATTGGTTGTGACATATTCCTACTCTTGAGAAGGTGAAATTCTTCCCTTGAACATCTTTACACGAGTCCTTTCCTACAAGATATATGTTGTGTCATCTTGGTATGATCAGATGAATATTTGTCCTAGGTTCAACCAGGATCAGGAAAAGACTCTACATTGCCTTACATCTTGGTATGATCAGAATGAAGTGCCTTAGAGACTAGGAACAAATAATGTCTTGCGAATGAAGTGGTATATTCCTATATTTTGAAACTCCTCATAGTTAAATTTTTATCAAACATGATTTGTCTCCTCCCATAAGAATGATTATGTGGAATGCACACAAAGGTAGTGATATGATTTTTAATGTTGATGGAAGTATCCTCGATAATCATGACGTCTCAGATTTTTGTGGATTGGTTCGAAATGTCGATGGTGCTTGGTTTCACTTTTTTGCGGGTAATATTGGATATTCCAAGAGTCCTCATGTTAGGTTGATGACACTCTATCATGGTTTGTGTAAGACTTGGGAATTTGGCATAAAAAACCTAATGTGTTATTATGACTTCAACTCTACTATATCAAGTTAACCTCATAGTCCATTAATGTTTGCTATCACTATGTTGCAATCTTTCACAATATTAAAGAGTTTCTCTTTAGAGATTGGTGCATTCAATAGTTCATACTTTTAGAGAGGATACTATTTATGCTGACTATCTAACAAAACATGAATCTGGTAATCGTGCTTCATATTGATCTTTTGTGGAGTCTTATATTGGAATCTTCACTCTCCTGCTAGCTGATACTAATGTGACTTTATTTTCTAAATAACTTTCCTTCTTGATTTTCTTTTTGTTCCTTTCCTCACTTGTAAAAAAGTATAAATCTCAACTAGTAAGAGACATGTGCGTTCGCACGGGTCGCACAATATCATTATAAATAGTAAATAAATATAATATAATGATGGTTAAGAAATGTATATAAAAGATATATAAATTAAAAAAAATCAAATTATGATTGTCATAAAAATATTAATTTAATTTAAAAGGTAGTGGTCTTTTGTAAGAATGTACGGTGGAATTATGTTAATTGCATTAAATATCACCTTAAAAAATATAGAGATTTCCAAAGAAAAATATGGTATATATATATATATATATATATAGGTGATTAACTTTTTTTGATTCGGCAACATGTACTATAGTATTTTTCTCAAATCCTGCTCATTGTCATCCATACCTCTCTCTTACTATAAAACACTCTAATCTTTTTCACATATTTTACATAATAAAGTCAATAAATTTAATACATTTATTTTAAAAAAAATATCATTTATAGATTAATATGTGCAGCTTTTAATTTTCGCATTTCTAATATTAAATTAAAATATAATATGAAGTATTGTGTTGTTTCGGCTCGTCAAACATGTTTGTTTTACTTGTATATTTTGTAGGACGAAGCCTATGCTTGATGGTTAATAGATTTAATAGAATTATTTTTATACAAAAAAAAAAGATTGTCTTGTCGAGAGAAGTTAAAACTAGTTTGGACTTTTATTAGAGTGAATTGATTAGTTTATTCATTTTTCTCATAAATATTTAATTTATAATAAAATATATTAAATAAATTTATACAATGCAAATGAATAATATAAATTAAAAATAAAAACTATTTAATATTATATTAAATAAATTATTCAAGCAATGTAAATAAATGGTATAACTTAAAGTAATTTCTTTTATCCGATTTTACACTTTGTCAGTTTACAATTTTATGTTACGAAATTAAAATAATAAAAAATAAATTAAATAATAGAAAAACCAAATAATTAACCTATATTTTGATTATATTAAATTTAGATAGGTCAATCAATTTAAATAACATTTGAGTTAATTAATTATTATTCTTGATTACAATTTTAACTCAGAAAAAATAAATCAAAGTAATATAGTTATTATATATCATTATTAACAATTTTTTTGGGCTCGCACCCCTATTATGCTTGCTCCGCTCATTTTTTCCGGAAGCTAACATTAACGGGTGAGCATTAATTTTTGCAAGTTTAAATATTGCCTAAAACGTTGTACTTTGTTTTATACTAAGACAAAATATTAATGAGTAAAATAATAATTTAGTTAGAAATAGACTCATGCATTCACATCGATAGAGGGATATGAAGAGCAATATTAATACATACTCATATTGAAAAGAAAAGAAAAAAGAATATGAAAGACAAACAATACTGACATCATAAGTATTTTATGTATTCAGCAATCATAATTGTCTATTTTTTTTTGTTGATAAAAACAAATAATAGTAGCATTTTTTGGTTATAAATGCTAACATTTTATCATTTAAAAAATGTTAATATTTTTTTAAGTCAATTTTATTTTTTTCTTATATCATTTCATAGTATTATATATCATTTTCCATCAAGTATATGATTTTTATTTTTAAAAAATTATAAAAATATATTTTGATTTGTCACAGAAACTATTGAATTCAAATTAATCCCTGATAAAAAAAAAGAATTGAATTAATCCTTTATAAAATTTAATCGAGTCATATTAATCTTTATGTAATATTTTTCTAAAATTAGTTTATTTTCCTATTTTTAAACAGTAATTAAATTGTCACGATGGATTTAATTTTTATTTTTTATTTTTTTTAATATTAAATTAATCGAATCATTCTTAATTTATTGAAACAAAATGTATTAACATCTTTAACGCTTAATTCTTTATGTAATATTTTTCTAAAATTAGTTTATTTTCCTATTTTTAAACAGTAATTAAATTGTCATGATGGATTTATTTTTTATTTTTTATTTTTTTTTAATATCAAATTAATCGAATCATTCTTAATTAATTGAATCAATATGTATTGAAACAAAACATATTAACATCTTTAACGCTTAATTCTATTGCCGTTTATAAACCTAGGACATTATATATATATATATATATATATATATATATATATATATATATATATATATATATATATATATATATATATATATATATATATATATATATATATATATATATATATATATATATATATATATATATATATATATATATATATATATATATATATATATATATATATATATATATATATATATATATATATATATATATATATATATATATATATATATATATATATATATATATATATATAATTGGATCTATTTATATAATCACTAGATGAAGTATAACAAATCAATTTCAGTATAAAGTCACAAACATATGTTTAAGAAAATATGAACAACTAAAATATAGTCTCTTCCCAACTATTTTTTGGATTTTAAGCATAAATTTGTAAAAAAAAGAAAGTATTATAGTTATTGTTACGAAACAAAATGCAAATAATAATTATTAAAAATGGACTCATTATCTATAATCAATCATTTTGAAAAAATTTAGTTTTTCAATTTAAGACTTAATTGATAAATGATGATGTTTATAATTAGTAATGCAAAATTTTAATAATTAACCATGCAGGATTTTACACGTGGTAAACTAAGTGTATTTTCTTATAATACTTAGTGGTTATAAATGGAATAAAATTTTATATTATTTCAAAAATGAAATGAAGATATTACTATCCTATATTTAATAAATGGCTTTTTTAAGATTTATTTAAATTAATATTTCCTAAATTAAATTATTTTTTTTATTATACAATTTAATAGATAAGGTAAAAAAAAATTATACGATTGATATTTTACCACCACTCATATATATATATGAGTTTCCAATATTTTTTCTTTATTAACTAGCCTATTTTTATAAAGGTTGAAGTCTTGCTAATAAAAGAATAAAGATAATCATTCATACTAATTAAGTAACTGCATCAAAATTTACCCACATTAATTAACATACTAATTCCTTTGAAAATTCATCAACAAGAAAACAAAAGATAGCAACCTCAACCTCTCCGGCCAACTCTCTTGTTACCTCATCATTTTTCTTCCACCCAATTTCCTCTCTAGTGAAATCCTCTTCTATCATCATATCAATTGTGTTAGATTCCACTTTTTTCCACAACTCCATCTTCTTGCATACCCTTTTCACTACACAGTTCATATCTTGTGAATAATTAAGTTCCTCCTTAATGAGATCATAAACAAGTCTCTTAAGAACTTCTTGCTCTTGCCATCTTTCATGATCACTTGAATGGCAGAGTATTTCACAAACTATTTCTCTAAGAGCCTTTTCTTCACAATCTTCGTCATCATCATTTTCATAAAATGTTTCGTAGTCGTCGTTTTCTTGCATTCTTTTCTCGAGTTCTAGTGGATTTAACTCCGCGAGTTGCTCAAATCTTCGAAGCCTTTCTAAAAGTTGTTGTTTGGTTTCTGAAAATTTAATACACAACAAAATAAATCGAAAATATATAAATCAAATATATTGATTATATAATAAATCTAAAAAATAAATTTTTTCTTATTTAAGAAGAAGAGGAGTATCTTTCTTGAAGCCTAAAATGGTCTTGAATAGCTCAAGTGATTAAAAGCAGACATGTGAATGAAGCAATAACTCAGCACAACTTGCAACACTTTGACCAAGTTAAACAGATTATCACAAGAGTAATAAATTCTCAACAACCAAATTACCATCAAAACATGATAAAACTTCATATTACTGAACCTTATAAACACATTGAATAGAAGCATCACAATCAGGACAGATTTTCTGACATGTAAAAATTTTGTGGGTCATGTTAAAATTTATAACAACACAGTATAGTAGTAATTAATAATCTCTAAAGGTAAAAACAAATTATGCCATTTCAACATAGATGTAAATATGTTTCCAATCATTTCACCAACTAGTCCTCTTATGGTATTTTTGTAACGGACAATCAACTTCGAAGACTCGTGTATGTTGGTGTATGTTAATAGAAAACGACCTTACAACAACAAAAGCATAACATCATTAAAAAATAAACCATGTTTTAGTAAATAAATTGAGCGTTAATACTTAATTTATAACTGCATACAAAGACATCGAAATGCAAAAACACACATTTAAATCTACAATATCTCACTGTTCATGTCATTAAACTACTAAATTTAAACATTAACTATTAATTATAAAATTAAATTAAAAAATAACATACTTTGCATGTTGGCGTAGCTACAATCCAAATCAAAATCACGTTCTTCATCATCATTTTCATGACATTCATCATCATGATAATCTTCAAAAGGTGTATCTAAAACAGAGACTGGACTACACTGTTCTTTCTCTTCTTCATCTTCTCCTGATTCAAATTTGTTAACACCTTCACCTCCATTATTTTGTTTGTCCTATGAAAATTCACAACAACCTTTAATTAGAATAATATATGATATGATATAATTGGGGTAGTTAACATAATTTCCTAATCATTCTAATAATATCTTTGATGTAGACTCAACACTTGATTCATAATTGGGCTATTTATTTATTCATAAATTTGGTTTGTTATTGACTTTTTCTTTTGTTTTTGGTTACTACAGAACAGAACAATTAATGTCAAACAAAAATACAAATAAGAAACTATTCATTAGTAAATAGAATGTCGGAATCAGATAATAACAATACAACAATTTATTTATGAAAGTGTAAAAGTAAAACCCACCAAATAAAACAACTGAATCGAATTGACCTATTTAACCCTATTGTAACATAATATTTCATCAAATGTAGAAAATTTTGAGGGTATAATAGTCATTGTCAAGTAAAAACAGAGTTCCGGCAAAATATCAGTCATAAAATCAAAATCTTATTTGCCGACAAAAAAAATAAACACCACAGAACAAACAAACAAACACGGTAAACTCACGAGTTTAACTCGTTGCTCCAACTCAGCAAAAGTACCGAGTCAGACCGGCGAGTTGAACCGGATCTTATGTTTCATGTTAAGCAGTTTGATAAAAAATATATAAGAAAATGACAAACCTCTGGTTGGTGGCGGTTAGGTGAATCCACCGGCGAGGAAAACTCCGGCGTACGGCGGCCGGAAGTGAAGGGACTCTTTTCGAGAATGAAACGAAAAGGGCTTTCGCAGAAAAACCCATGCTGATCAAAACAAGCGCAATCTGCATTTTGTTTCTTCGTGTTCATCATCACAAACTCAACCTCTTCCACTGAGTCACAAGAATGGCCACTGCTCGAAGTTTCCGCTTCGTTGCTCTCAGACCATACAGCACTACTGCTATGTCTTCCATTGCAAGAACACACCTCAGTGCCACCTTTGTTGAAAGATTTTCTATTTCTTGAATCCCACCTCAAAATATCCTTAACAGAAACGTCACCTTCAGTTTTGCTTTTGCTTCGTTGAGTTAGTTTCTTGAAAAACGAACCGAAAACCCCAAAGGATTTGTTTTTGTTTTTGTTTTTGGGTTTGTTACTCTGGATTTTGATAGCTGCATCGAGTAAAAGCGACGCAGTTTTGGCTGGGATTTGGAGGAAGATATTATTTGAGGATCTGATCGGGCTTTTGAGCGGTGAATTTCTAATATCCGGTGTGTTTTGGAATGAGAAAAAACAAACGTGTTTGCAGAAATTAACGTTTGTTGTTGGTGGTTTACGTTGTTGTTTCTGCAATTGTAAAGTAGTGTTTGATGAAAGTCTTTTGAGTTGGTAAAGTCTATCTGAAATGTAGTCGTTTAGAAGAAATGGTTCTTGATCTTCTTGAAGTAACTCGTGTAAGTGCTTTTGAGCCATGATGAAAAGTGAAGAAGAAGAAGAAGAAGTTGAGAAAGGTTGAAGAGGTTTGAAGTTTGTTTTAGAAAGAGTTAAATAGAAGAAGAAATAGAGGAATGAGAGAGGAAAGAGAGTTGGAGATTCAAATCTAGATGGGTTAAAATATCGAGGCAGATAGGTAAAAGAAATGTAAAAATATTGCCAGTTGTATTTGGGTGTATTGTGTTTTGGTTTGTGACTACTTTTTGTCGTCTAGTGGTCTGCGTAAAAAAAATATGGAACAGTAATGTGAGAGTTTAGTTAATGTAATTGGATGGGTTTTTTAGGGTGTACTAGTTTATTAGGGAGAGTGATCACGACATGGTTACTAGGAAACAAGACAGGTGGTCAATCGTAGTACTTGTTGTGAGCTGTGTGGTGAGTGAGACCCGGTTCTTGTCGCTATGGTGTGGTGTGGTTCTGATATTCTTGTCTTGATTATGTAGGAAAGGGTTGGTTTCTATCAAGCCCCATGTACTTTCTGAGGATGGACAAGGGTGGAGATATGAAAAATGAGATAGACCAACCACCAACGTGAAGTTTGCATTTGTATATTATTTATTTGTTTTTAAATGTGTGATTTACTCTAATTATTAACTAATAATTTTTGGGTCAAGCATTTCTTGGGCGTCTTTTATTTTTGGGTCATATTTTGTCACCCACACCAACCATAAATTATCTCTCCTCTCACATATTCTTTTGTCAAAGTTTCATATCCTTCGGTCTTTTTTGTTTTTTATGTGATTTAAGTGTTTTTGTTCTTCCCTCTGCTACCTTCGTTATCATCTATCTTTTGTTCGTCATGGCCCGACTCTTCGAGCTGATCAAAGACATCAATGACCGTAAAGAGTTATGGAAGATCGCTGTCAAAGTTCACCATAAATGGAAGCTTTCATCCACTACAAATGAGCATTTTAAACTTATTATTATAGATAAAGAAATGAGTTTTCATTGTCAATGTTTGTTTCGTGTTCATGTTTTAGGTTTATTGCGGTTTTATTGTCAAGTTTCTTCCAATTCATATTTTGATGTTTTTATCGTTGTTTTGGTTTATGACATGTTTCCATCTATATTGATTTATATGTTTTCCAGTTTTTGTTGTTTGTTTATTAGTTACTTCCATGACAAAGATTTTATATGTACTAGTTTTTTGAGTTATAGTGTTTAATTGATAATAAATGTTCAGATCTATATGAATTTATGGTTAGTTACAACTATTTTATATGTTTTATGTTTTAGTTTGAGTAAAGTAAATTTGTACGGCCTTTTCTATTAAAAAGTTTTAGTTTTTAGTTATGTTTGTAATTTATACTTTGCATTGGATATGGTTTGTGGTTTACCTTCTTATTTTTTACTTTAATGACAATAATATAGTTTCATTTTGTGTTTATGGTTTGACGTTTTTTAATTAGATTCTATATTAATAAAGAGATCTTATTTTTATAAGGTCATAATATCCATGTCATTGTTCCAACAATGTTTAGACAAACTTTTGATTCAGCCCTATTTGTAAACATGACTTGCACAATTTCAAACTTTCAAGTTCAAAAGAATGATTGAATGTTCAGAGCATACACCCACAAGTTAATGTTGAAATTTATCGTTGGAACAACAGTAAGAGATTATAACAACCATTCAATCTTTGATAAGGTTATTAAATTCACCTCTTTTTGTCAATTCTATTCATATTTTTTCATCTACATATGTGATTGGTGTTGTAACACCCCAAATTTAGAAATTATGATGCTTATGTGTTTATTTATGAATATTAATTATTTATTGTGTTTATTCATTAAATATTTGTGATTTTTTGTAGTGGTTGAATTATTGATGGGAGTATAAATTCTTAAGTTAGAATTATTTAGAATAATTAAATAATAGTTTATGTGGTTTATTAATAAAATAATAAGGCAAATAAATAGTTGGAGAATGTAGAGATTTAAGGGGCAATGAGGTAATTACATGAGTATAAGTGAGGGCATATGAGGGAAAACATAGAAAGGGTCTAGTGTTACTAGATAAAAAGGAAAAATAGAGAGAAGTGAGGTCATTCTGTTTTGTACGTGAAAAGTTTAGAGAAGGGAGAAAGAAGCAAGGGCATAGAAGAATCAAGGGGATGTCCATTAGTAGACTTTGAAGAAGTGATTCCTAGAGAAATTCTAAGGTGAGGGTGGGTAATGGTTGTCAATTATGAATGATATGAGGAAAGGATAGATGTAGGATTTTGATTGTTGTTGATTATAATGATTAGTGATGTAATTGATGAAAATCATTGATATTGATGTTGTATGATTATGTTGTGATGCATTGTCGATGACAATAATTTTGGCGTATCTTATCAGATGGATCATGTGTTAAATATATGAATTGATGATGATATATGTTTTTTTAATAAATTATATGTTGATTGATTGTTAATCTATGGTTATATAACATGATAGATGAATTTAGAATGTTAAAATTGTTAGAATAATAATGCAAGTGTGAGTAAGTGGGGAAATAGTCTCATATTTGATAGGAATGTGGAGACTTGAGCATATATAAGTGGGGAGAACCCACTCACTTATCACCTTAAGTTTTTAGATGAGCAAGTGGTGCGTCTCCCACAAAGGTATGTTGCTCAAACAGAAAGTCCCTACAAAAGTGTAAGAATGCTCATCGCTCGACCCTCCCCCAATTATTACGCTAACAAATGGTATCATGAGCCTTTGGTTTCGAGAAAGGGACTGGCTTATTTGTATCGAACGTATCTCCACATGGTCGTGGGTAAGAGTCATGCATGTTGGTAGAAGTGTCTCATTGAAGAAAGTCAATGGCAGTACAAGTTTGGGGGGGAACATTGTGGTAGGCTCACACTTGAGGGGAAGTATTAAGGATAATACATGTGTGAGTAACGTGAGGATAAGACAAGTGTGAGTAATATGGAGAAATAGTACCACATAGGATAAGAATGTGGTGACTTGAGTATTTATAAGGAGAACCCACTCACCTATTACCTTAAGGTTTTAGGTGGACAAGTGGTGTGTCTCCCACAAATGTGTGTTGCTCAAATGGAAAGTCCCTACAAAGTGTAAGAATGCTCCTCGCTCGACCCTCCTTCCGTTTGAGAAACACACTTTTGTGGGAGACACACCAATTGTCCACCTAAAACCTGAAGGTGATAAGTGAGTGGATTCTGCTCACTTATATATATGCTCAAGTCTCCACATTCTTATCAAATTTGATATTATTTCCCCACTTACTCACACTTGCATTTTTATTCTAACACTTTAACAGGACACCTCTTATCCACCACCCGTGGGGATACCATTGTTGGAGGCAATTCGGGGGGTCAACAAGGGAGCATCTTTACTTGAGACACACTTTTGTGAGAGACACCTCCACATAAAACCTTAAGATGATAGGTGAGTGGGTTCTCCCACTTGTATATGCTCAAGTCTCCATATTATTATCCAATGTGGAACTATTTTCTCACTTACTCACACTTGCATTATTATTCTAACACTCTCCCTCAAGTGTGAGTCTTCCACAAGTCTCCCCCTCAAACTTGTACCGTCAATGACTCTCTTCAACAGGAAACTTCTACCTACATACGAGAGTGTTACCCACGATCATGTGGAGATACTTTTGATACAAGTAATCTGGTCCCTTTCTCGAAACCAAAGGCTCGTGATACCATTTGTTAGCTCAATAATCGGGGGAGGGTCGAGCGAGGAGCATTTTACACTTTTGTAGGGACTTTCCGTTTGAGAAACACACCTTTTTGGGAGACACACCTTTTGTCCACCTAAAATCTTAAGGTGATAAGTGAGTGGGTTCTACCCACTTATATATGCTCAAGTCTCCACATTCCTATCAAATTTGGGACTATTTCCCCACTTACTCACACTTACATTATTATTCTAACACTCCCCCTTAAGTGTTAGTCCATAATGCCTCTTGTATAGCCGTTGACACCTTGCAATGGGACACCTCTTCTTGGACATTTTGATATTAAGCGGGTCCCTTTCTCGAACCAAAGGCTCCCCTAAAGTGTGAGTCTACAATGCTCCCCCTCTTAGAGCACCGTTGACACCTTACAACAGGACACCTCTTCTTGGGCATTTCGATATTAAGCTGGTACCTTTCTAGAACCAAAGGCTCATGATACCAATGTTAGGGGCAATTCCGATGGAGCATTCTTTACTTGGGACACACCTTTTGTAAGAGACACCACATATCCACCTAAAACCTTAAGGTGATAGGTGTGTGGGTTCTCTCACTTATAAAGTATTCATTCTTCCATTTTCTAATCAATGTGGGATTCTTCCTCACACTTGACTCTCAACAAAAATAGCATGAAAATTGGTCAGTTATGATGCGTATTCGTATGCCTAAGTTACTGTCAAGAGAGTCAATGTTTAAGTGCTTTAAAATAGAGTTTTTATGCCTAACTTACAATATGTACTGACCTGTGCGAGTTATGTGATGGCACATAGACTTTAGAAAAGTGATTTGTTGGAAAACATTGAGTCATGTGTCGACACATGAAGCTATATAAGCCGACATATGCAAACAGAAGCCACACTTTTTAAAACAAGAGTACACGTGTCAACATGAAATACGTATGTTATGGCATATGCATACAAAATTTGCCCAAAAACGATATTTTTCAACATATATCCATTTTTCTTGTACTTCAACCTTTTACTAAAGTATTTTAGCGATAAATGATAAAAGAATAGAGTAATAAACACATGTTTATATTATTGATAATCTATACTTGATTTTTGTACTAATTTGATGTATTGTTGAATGATGATTGAATCGTTGTGTATCAAATGATGTTGTTGTATGGTGAATTGATGGAAATGTTGCTTAAATGTTGAAATTTGTATGTTGATGATGTTGTTGCTGCATGTTGTAAATTATGCATCCATGTTTTTGGAATTGTAGTTCTAAATTATGTTGTGGCCTCGTTTTCTATGGTGATGGTTCGAGTG